AACGGCGGAAGATTCACTCAGGTAAAGGATAAGTCGAGTAAATTTCAGTTTGTAATTCATGGATATTGTCGCCTTAAACTTTTTGTGTGTAGGATGCACCTTCATCAAGGAGGTGCATATTCTGGACAGGCTTGGTAAAAAAAACACAAAATGAAAATACAATATTATAAACAACAAAACCTTTTGGATATTCTTTCAACTGCTTAGATTTATCGTTTTTTTTGTTATTGTTAATTGGTTCGTCGATTGTGTGGAGGGATCCAAATTCTTCGCAAACGCATATCCTGTAATATTGAGAGATTAAAGAGAGATATCATGCGAACTATGCCATTAAATGTCACAAGGTGTTGCGACAAAGTTCACCCGGAAATTTTGTCTCCATAGCCGGCGATTCTGATACAAAATGTCTGTTCATTAATTAATTGGGGCATTAATTAAGTGGGGTTGAGTATTAATTCAGGATTTACTCGTGACAAATGTTGCATTTTAGTGATTTCATTATCACTAAATTGTCATCATAAGTCGGTGTAATGAAAATTACTGTTTGCATTTTTATATTATTCTTTCTGATTTCTATTTTGTTCTTTTATCAAACTTTCAAGAAAAGCAATGATATCTATTGATATTTTAATCAGTTGTGTGGGTTGCCTGCATTCCCGGGGATGCTGTTTGCGGGCTTCTTACTGGCAAACATCCCAGGCGTCAGGATCATCGGCGACAGCATCGAACCAAACTGGCACCTCGCGGTCAGGTGGGGCTGGGGATCTCTACTCTTGAGTGATATTCATGTTCATTTAATTTCTTTTGTTGCTTCAATTGTCAGCAGAAAAGTGCATAAATCTTGTTGCTTTGTCACGTTCCAGTTCATGCCTCTTGTTGCCTGTTGCCCTGTCACGTTCCAGTTCATGTCTTTTGTTGCCTTGTCACGACTGAAGTAAGGATACACGTTCCAGTTTTATCCTGCCCTGCACTGTTCTTGTTCTCTTCGTGAAATGACGAATATATGAAATAAAATTTGTACTCAATGTAATTAATTGATTTTTTTTTAATTTCTGGAACCCAGGTTCCACGATTTTCTTACATTTATACAGTCGGGAAAAGTTTTCAGAAAATGAAGCTAAATGTCATAAATTTATCAGGAACTTTTCGCTGGTGGTGATCTTAACCCGGGCCGGTCTATATTTGGAACCTAAAGTCCTCAAGACGATGTATCTAGCGGTCACCAGAC